ATATATATATATATATATATATATATGAATATATGTGTAAACTAACAAAGGTTTTAATTAATTAATTAATTAATTATAGGCCTAATAATAATAATAATAATAATAATAATAATATGGATTTATATAGCGCAAATAAACGAGGCTGCTACCTTAATAAGCGTAGTTAACTTAGTTAAGAATAAATAAATTGTAACACACTTGAGGATGCATAGCGTCAAAGGACTAATTTAATCGTATAAAAACGTAAGGACAAAACAAAATCACATATCTTTTACCTAATGAATATTAATTTTAGTTTCATTTGATTGTCCTTTAGGCCTATAGTTCAAGCTTACGTCTTAAATATACGTTTGATATGACAAGCCTAGTCGTTACAGAGTTATGTAAAAAGACCAAAATGACATTGCAAACTTTATAAAGGTTTTTTCACTCCTGAAAACCGCTTAAATACGCCGACGGGCATATCATCTTAACAATCAGAGACTATATGCCATTTACCCGATCAAAGCTTCCGAAAGTACCTTAAAAGCATACTCTCCACGCACCAAAAATTCTAAATATTAAAAATCACTGCTATATCACCTACTAGAGGTAATGTTTTGATTGGTTAAACACTTTGGTACTAGTGCATATAAGCTTGCTAATACGGATATTTTTTTCATTCCTGATGATGACATAATTAATGCCGAAATATTGAATCCCACCACGATGGCGTGTATTTCAATACTTGGAAGTATGTACTGTATTATACATTCTTAGATTAGATTACACTTTTAAAAATCGGAAATTATCAAGTTTGCTTTGACACAGACACTAACCCTATCATAGATTACATTTGGAACCAAACCATGGCATTTCTCTATTACACAAGTCCTAACCTTTACAATTGTCAGTTAAAACGTGTGGCATATTACTACTACAACAACTGCTGCTGCTGCCGGTGCCGCTGTGTTACAACCGTTAATGTAGAAAACAAGGAAGCCCAGCACATATTGAGAGGAATATGAGGTTGTATTGAGTCGATTTTGACTATCTAGCATGGTAGTTTTCAGTAACAAAATAATAATAAAAAAAATAAAAATACGTCTTTTCAAAAGAAATGTTAATATACAGGGTACCGGTACCTGCAATATGCAACTATGAAATGTGTCATTAAATTAATAATTCATCAACTCAAAGCTGTGGGTTTTAGTGCCTCTTCCACGAACATATCAAACATAATCTTTGACAACATGCAAAGGCTCATAAATGTACACCATTTCAAAAGAGAAATTTCACTTCTAGAAAACATGATGAAGTTTCTCAGCAACATCGAGCATAAAATAACAAAATCAGCAAAAAGGAAAACTAATATCCAAAATCCGTTAAAAAAAAGTCGTCAAACAACAAAATCCGCTACTGTATTTAACATTGAGTAAATTATAAGTGTTCTATTTCTCACCAAGTGGATTTATGAATAGTACTCTCCTAGCGTGTTTTTGGTAGGAAAAGAAGACTTAAACACTGTGGGTGTAATTTTTTCTTTCCTATTTTTCTTCTTTTTTTTTTTTTTTTTTTTCTTTTTTTTTTTGCAAAAAATAGGGGGAGGCGTAAGGGGCCGCTTACACCCCCCCCCCCAAATCCGCCACTGGAAATAGGCCTAGGCCCTAGGTTTAGGTGGGCCTATTTTGTTTCATGTCAATTAGAGACAACAGGATTATACAATTTCATACAGTATATCTTGTAAATTACACAATGATGATTAAACCAGGTACTGTAGGCCTACATATAAAAATAAGGAAGTAAAACTTACACGTCAAAAGTGTCAAATGTTGTCTACTCAAAAACTCTACTTTATTAAAAGAGCAAGTCTACTGAAGGGATGTCGTCAATGGAGATGTGCACACATATCAGTGTACTGTGGTCACTGTGCATGGGGTTGTCTGACAGCACATACCTGCTGACCTCGATAGAGTGATTGATTGCACGAAAGTTTCCATGTTGGTGCATCTGCACTTAAACTTTCTTTGTAGCTATGCACTACGCTATGGAATTGAGTATCAATTTAATTATCTCAATTTTTTTTCCTGTGATATAAGGGGTGAGGGGCGCGCGTCGCAGGCGCCCCCCCCCCCCCACAAATCCCAAATCCGCCCCTGGTAATAGTCCTACTATCGCCAGCTAATGTCGATTATTACACTATTATAATATTGGCGGAAAAACATGGGAGGAACTAAAATTCAGTTGCCTGCACATTTCATAATGGCGTGTAAACCTGTGAGGGCACTTTAAAAAAAAAGGCCACCTACGCTTTTAATAGGGTGCTCACCTCGGTAACCAATAGGCTTAAATGACCAGTGAGCTGAATTTTTTTTTTTTTAACAATGGGAAAATTGGAAGTCGGGAAAGCTTATTTTCCGCCATATAATAATCAAAATTTTCCCAGGGAGAACCCGGACCCCCCTTTCTCTTTGGGGTTCATTGATTCGTTTTCATAAAAAACCTAAACTTTGAAACCTAAACTTTGAATGATTTGAAAGTCATTAAAAGACAGTTCAGAAGTCGGGAAAGCTCATTTCCTGCCATCTAGGAATCAAAATTTTCCCGACCCTCGTCCTCTTTCGGGCTCATCGATTCATGGAAAAAAGAACACGTATACAACTACAGTACTGTATCTGTACTCATTTTTTTTCTGTATAGACTTATACCGGTACACACATGATAGGCCTACTTACTGTAATAAGAATGAGAGAAATTTACCTGACCGTTTTTTAAGTTTCAAGAGGGCATAAATTTTGAAGTCGGAAAAGCTCATCTTTCGTCATCTAGGAATCAAAGTATCAAAATATTTTCCCGAGGGAGGGCCCCAAACTCTATTTTTTTTTAACATCCTGAC